CCGAGATCCCCTTCCTGTAGTCAAGCCACCTGACCTGTGGTGGATGACCTGGCCCCACCAACACCAGGATAGTCTGAGATGGACTCAGACACCCCTCCCTGGTGGTCAAGACACCTGACCTGTGGTGGATGACCTGGCCCCACCAACACCAAGTTAGTCTGAGATGGACTCAGACACCCCTTCCTGGTGGTCAAGACACCTGACCTGTGGTGGATGACCTGGCCCCACCAACACCAAGTTAGTCTGAGATGGACTCAGACACCCCTTCCTGGTGGTCAAGACACCTGACCTGTGGTGGATGACCTGGCCCCACCAACACCAAGTTAGTCTGAGATGGACTCAGACACCCCTTCCTGGTGGTCAAGACACCTGACCTGTGGTGGATGACCTGGCCCCACCAACACCAAGTTAGTCTGAGATGGACTCAGACACCCCTTCCTGGTGGTCAAGACACCTGACCTGTGGTGGATGACCTGGCCCCACCAACACCAAGTTAGTCTGAGATGGACTCAGACACCCCTTCCTGGTGGTCAAGACACCTGACCTGTGGTGGATGACCTGGCCCCACCAACACCAAGTTAGTCTGAGATGGACTCAGACACCCCTTCCTGGTGGTCAAGACACCTGACCTGTGGTGGATGACCTGGCCCCACCAACACCAAGCTAGTCTGAGATGGACTCAGACACCCCTTCCTGTTGGTCGAGCCACATGTCCGATGGTGGCCGACTTGACCACAAGCCAGTCCAAGATGGACCCAGACGCCCCTTCCCTGTAGTCAAGCCACCGACCTATGGTGCTTGACCTGACTCCACCACGAGCCCTGAACCTTTCCCAAGCTGACCCCAAGATGCCCAGAATCAACAATAATAATTATATTTTTTAAATCATTTTTTAATTCAATATTTTCATAATTTTTATTATTATTTTTTGTGAATATTTCTTTAATAATTTTATATTTAATTTATTTTTATCATTTTTTTTAAGATGCCTTTTTAATTTTTTATTTTCATAGAGAGAAGAGTGATGATAGCCTTGGGGAGTGAGTTCAGCAACACTGGGGAAAAAGGAAGCGGGATATTTAGATTTTTGGACATTTTTTTTTTATATTGACATTCGGATTTTACATTTTTTTTCTTAACAAAAATTTGACTTTTATTTTCTTGAGAAGCAAAAAAGACTTGGAGTTGCGGAGGGCGGAGGCCTCTGGCTGCGGCCTTGGCTGCCCCTTTTTTCGAATCATGGACATGGGTGGCTGAAGGTAGGTGGGGATAATCTGGGACTTGGCATGATAGGTTTTTTTGTAAAAAGTATATATCTAGTATTAAAACTCCTCCCTTTTAACCTTATTTACAGTTTTTTTTTATCCTTTTCCATGAAATCTTATATGCGCGTGATATTATTCAAGTATTTTCTTTGTTTTGTCTATATTTGTAGTACATTGGAAATTTATTTTATTAGAATAAATAAAATATGTTTAGCCAAAATATTGATTGGTTAATTTCCCTTTTTTTAACATTAATTGCTAGCCGGCACAGCTTTAGGTCTCTACATGTGCCATAGATGAATAAATTTGTGGTCTGCTTTTCTGCAGCCACTGGCGCCCTAACATTTGGACATGTAGAGATCTGGAAATAGTTATTAAAAGTATAAAAATCATCACGATCTTAACAATGACGCCCAAAGCAGGGCATAATTATGTTTATAATTTTCTTCTTCCATTATACCTAAAAAAATATATGAAATGCTCTCGATTCATTTGTTACAGCAACATGATTAGTGTTTAGTCAATTTGACCAACCAGCCTCTTTTAATCCAATGACACGACCTCTTTCAAACTCTGACATATGTGATGCGCACTCATATTTTAATGAGGCATTGATACAGTAGAAATAAGCTTACTGTAAAAAAAAAATTAATGGTAATTTTTTTTATATCGAGAGTGCCGCGCCTAATATTGAGTCTAGAATCCTCATGCTGAAGCTCTTGCTTTGCAGAAATCGCACAGCAAATTTCAATCATTTGCAAGTTTGGTCAAAGCAAGCTTCATCTTTGTAAAACCTATAAATTTGTCAACACCATCTTGGTGTGTCGATTTTTTTCAATCGATCCAATATTGACTATTAAAATAATTAGGGTGCACCAAAAAAGAATTCAACAAAAGTCAAGATGAAAAGGAAAAGTATCAAACCAACTCAACCTAAAAATATATATATTTACATAAAATACAGGAAAATAAAAGTGAAAACCTGGAACCATAAAGAAGACACTTGGACTGAAACTATGAAGACTAACAGAAAAAGTCACCAAAAACAAGGCTGTAAATATCAATTATTAATTATTTATTAGATTAACCCAGGATCTTGTATAGTGTTCAGAGTAAGTATACATAAATTCCATTATTTTCCAATAATGTTGAGTTGATTAGTTTTTGTAAAAGGTTATGGCAATATCTATATATAAAATTGAATGTCTGTCTGTCTGTTTGTTTGTACTCTATAGATTCAAAAACCATACATCCAATCGCCGTGAAAAGTGAATGTAAGATAAAAAGCCAACAATGAAGAATGAATGTAAGATAAAAAGCCAACAATAAAGAGTGAATGTAAGATAAAAAGCCAACAATGAATAGTAAATGTAATATAAAAAGCCAACAATGAAGAATGAATGTAAGATAAAAAGCCAACAATGAAGAGTAAATATAATATAAAAAGCCAACAATGAAGAGTAAATATAATATAAAAAGCCAACAATGAAGAGTGAATGTAAGATAAAAAGCCAACAATGAAGAGTGAATGTAATATAAAAAGCCAACAATAAAGAATGAATGTAAGATAAAAAGCCAACAATGAAGAGTAAATCTCTATCTATCTATATATATAAAATTGAAATAATATTATCATGCATATAGAAAAAAATGATTATATGCCTCTTCTTTATGCCGGACCAAACTACTCATTTCATCGACATTTTTGAAAGTAAAACAGTGTAAACGGTATTAAATATGTATAATGGAACAATGGCTTAAAATATAATAGAAAGTGAGCTGAATGAAGACAAAAAAAAAAATGTTAAGAATTCCCTATGAATTGAAATGAAGTGATTTTGGATATAAAATATAAAAAAAAAACTCGATTGATACACATTTAAAATGGTTAAAATGGCATTTATTAAGCCAAACAGTTTGAAAAAGTAGATACAGTAGAGCTTCCATTGAGAGGATGCCTAAAATCGTAGCTTAAACCGTCTCTCCGAGAGGCAGTCTCTTATTAAAGGTCTATTAGAGATTCTTTAATATCAATTAGAACCTCCAATGAGAGACCACCTACAGGAGAAACAAGTTGAGTCATGTTTTTAGGTGGTCTTTCTTAAGAGACTCTATTTACATATATTAAAATCAACATTTTCTTACTGTTACGTTTAATTACTGCTAATCTATATATATAAAATTGAATGTCTGTCTGTCTGTACTCTATAGATTCAAAAACCATACATCCAATCGCCGTGAAATTTTGGAATATTATTAGGTATATCACCGGGAAGGTTTTTGAAAAATAATTTCATGAATATCTTGAATATCCTTAGAGTTATTTGCAGATTTGTAGATTTAACTCGCAAGCAGCGCCCCCATTGTGACGATGATAACAAGTTTTCTTATCACTAAGTTTGTTATCTTAAATATTATTTATCAAAAGTAAGATTATCTCAGGATGACACGGCAATTTATTTGCGACAAGAATAATGATACAATTCCAAGGCGAAGATACTATTCCTTTAACTTCCAATTACCGAGGGAACCAATTAATATTGATTTTATTCAACTTATCGAGTATTTCTCAAGGGACCGGGAAAAAATGTTCACTAGATAAAACTATGATTTTCTAATGTAGAAAATTAGGAAAGACAAAATTCAGGATGACAAGGCACACAGGGACCGGGAAAAAATGTTCACTTTATCGAGAGATTCAAATTTACGAGTTTCAAATTATCAAATATATCTTTTTTATTTTTTAATAAGTTTTTAGATAATTGTTTTAACAAATGTTCGCTAGACAAACCTTTACTCGGGTAAAACCCCGGGCGAAGCCGTTTTATAAGTTTAAAGAGAATTGTTTTAACAAATGTTCGTTAGACAAACATTCACTCGGGTAAAACCCGGGCGAAGCCGGGCGGGTCCGCTAGTTATATATATAATAATGTTAATGTTTAACTATTATTAGAGAGATATTTACAACCTAGGTTCCTGGAGGGCAGAACGCCAACTACCCAGCAAGTCCAGATCACTAGTATGGACTTGTGCTAAGCGCTTTTACTCTCGTCCTGTTTTGATTGCTGAGTTGAACCACTTGACCAGAAGTTCCATGTTGAGGTTGAATCTGAAAAGCTGCTAATAGAGGTAGGGTTGAGGTGGGTCAGTCTAAGCTGGATAGCTGTTTGCCTTCTATGTCTCAAGAAAGATGAAAAACTGAAGAGGACATGGTCTGTCTGTGGCTCTTCTGAACAGTGTGGGCAGGTAGGGTCTGTTTCGGGACGCACACGCGTAATATTTGCCAGTACATGGCCATGGCCCGCGAGGATGGTGATTGTGGACTTGGCATATTTTTGCTAAAAATTTAAGGAGATGGCTTGGTATGGAAGCAATTTTTCTGGGGGATCTGGTCGAAAAGCTGCTTTAGATGAACTTATCTTCGCGATTTGAGCTGCCCGGAGAATTGCTATGAGCTCAGTTCGAAAGGTAATGCAGTCTGGGGAAGCACTAGCTAAAAGAACAGGCTAATGTTCTTGATGGCTTTTGTTCCCCTCCTTGATATCCTTTAAGAAAGCCAGCCGAGCCTGGATGATGATGTTAAGAAGGGGCAACATATTATTATTGAATAGACACATTTAGATAATAAATACATGGCGAAAAATATATGTTAAATATACTTATATTATATATATTTGCCTTATTCTGTTTGTGTCTGTTTGTTTGTCTGAAGCTCACGGATGGGATTTTTCATAACCATCGGTGGTTCAGTGGTAGAATGCTCGCCTGCCACGCGGGCGGCCCGGGTTCGGCCGATGCATTTTTTTTTTTTTTACAATTTTTAAAACTCATTTATATATTATACAAGAATGACATCCACGGCGCCAATTTATAATTGTAACGAATAGTACGGGTAAAACCCGGCCCGGGTCGTATATAATAATTGTATAAACGAATGCAAGACAAAATCACCGCGAATGTTTCTTTTTTTTAAGGCAATTTCTTTTTAAGGCAATTATCGGTATTTATCGTTAATTTTTGTTTCGATTTTATTGAAAAAAAAACGATATGGTGCCTTTAAAAAATGATCTTTATTACTATGCAGTTTTCTAATTAGTCAATATACCTAAGTTCATGTTGCAAATGTAATTATCTCTATCGATTTAGTAGGTGAAATGCAAAAAAAAAAAAATCGACATGATGAAATCTTTATGAAAATTCACATTTTTATTTTTATATTTTCAAGACACACACAGTTTGGGGCGGGACGTTTCACAAGAGAGACATCCACGGCGCCAATTTATAATTGTAACTAATAGTATTTTAATTAAAACATTTTAAAAACACACAGTTTGGAACGGGACGTTTCACAAGAGTGACATCCATGGCGCCAATTTATAATTGTAACGAATAGTATTTGAATTAAAACGTTTTTAATATATATGCGCACTCGGGTAAAACCGGGCGTTGCCCGGGCCATTCGTCTAGTAATTTAATAATTGCAAAATGAAATTCTATATAGATTTATTTTTTAAATATAATATAACATTTTGAAAAGATCATATAGGTAAATGTGGAAAAAACAAAATAAATTTTTTTACTGGAAACATTTTGGAGGTTTATCTTTCTACATATTTTTGTGAAAAATAGATTTCTTTTTAAAAGGTACTAGATGGGTGACCCGGGGCGAAGCCCGGGGTTTACCCGTGTGCATATCTACCCGAGTGATATATATTTAGATAAGATTTTTTTTTATAATTGTTTGTTATTAGCATTATCTATTTGTTTGCATCAGCATAATTTAATCTAATATTTGATAGAGCGCGCTGTTCGTGAGCTAAGTAGAATAATTTGAATATATATTTTAATAATTAATTTATATATTTTTTAAAATAGCCTATCGTCTTCCCCATATTTTTTACCTATGTATTTGTATACTGGACAAATTCGCAGTAGTTCACTAATTCAAACCAAAATTTCCATACATAGGTAAAAAATATGGGGAAGACGATAGGCTATTTTAAAAAATATATAAATCAATTATTAAAACTATATATTCAAATTATTCTACTTAGCTCACGAACAGCGCCCTCTATTTAAAAAAAAGGTATAAATTTAAAAATTGGAAACATTAAGTACACATATACATTCGAAAAAAAAAGTATTTTTTTTAAAACTTAAACTTCAATAAATTATATATATAAAATATATTTTTATAAATGTCCTTTTTCAAGAAAAATTCTTAATTTAAAAAAGGATTATATTATTCACAGAGTTATTCCTAAATTAATTTGACGTTGACTTTTTTTTTTTTTTAAGAAGTAAGAATTTTATTTTTAGTTCGCCATTTTTAAGATTACTAATTCCTTTTTTGACGTAAATTTAGTTTTAATTACTTGGTTATATCTAAAAGTAAACGGTTTATAGATAGCAAAGAATGCCAACAACCCGAACTGGAGCAAGAAATTTTAGACACAGGTTAGCCTAAAATACTTCTCTTTTGCCTTACTTTGTTATAATGGACAAGCCTACAGACTCGGATTCTATATGCCTTTAAAGGTATCTACAAAACAATAAATTTGTCACTTCGCCTGAATTTCAAATAGTACTCACCGTATAAACTACGTTTTTTTTTTATAATGACTTTTCTGAAATAAAAATAAAAGCGTCGTCATCTGAAAGCTATTGAAAAATATGTTTATATTTAATGGAGCTCCAAATTAAGGCACAACAAGTATTAAACTCCTAATAAATATATATATACGACCTCATTTCAGAAATAAATTTAAAATTCCCATTTATTTAGCTGAATAGGTTTTTCTGATATTCTGGCATCTATTAAGCTTATACTCGAATTACACTCTTCCTTGAGATCTTTACACACTACTGGAACAAAACTAGTCAGGAAATATAATTATGCCATTCTAGGTGAAATATATTAATTGCAGCTGAATATTTCTGCTGAATGTGTACTCACTTTGTAGTTTTTGTACCTCATATTATTAAGAAAGATGAGTAGGTTTTATCAAATGTAAACAAACAGCTCTTGATGGGTATAATCTCCACACCACTTTAAAAAATAAATTAAATTACAATATTTTGAAATTGAACAATAACCTTTTGTGTTTAAAAATTGAAACAACTTATCTGAATCTAATCAAACCAGCGTGTATATATATTTTAATACACTCAATTAAATATATATATTTTTTTTAATTCAAAATTTTTCCTAAATATTTTAAAGTTTAATAATCACATTCTTAGGAATATTTGTAAAATCAATATAAAATTTGTCAAAAAATATATTGCACTAAAACATTGCATTGTAATTTAAGCTAAACAGTTTTCTAGAATATATTATAATGTATACAGTTAAAGCTGTCTATAGCACCCCCTCTTGGGACTCACCAAAAAGGGTGCCATAGAGAGGGAGTGCTATAGACAGGTCATTTTTAATGTAAATCGCATCATACTATGTATTTAAAATCGGGCGCTACAGAGAGGGAGGCGCTATTTAGAGGGGGCACTATAGATAGGTTTAACTGTATTTTGCTATTAAACATTTTAAATATTTATTGATATAGTCAGGATATTTTCACCACAAAAACAATATAAACTTACTCATTATGTTTCTCTCTTACTCTTCATTATTTTTTAGTGGGGGGTCGGTGGAAGGCTGGTTAAACCGTTTGGTTTACGACCATTACGACGTGGGTTCGATCCCCGCATTGGACACTTTTTTCTGTTTAAAAAAAAAATGCTCCAATGGCCCCCCGATTCTTGCAAAAGTCCAACCCCACCAGCGAGTGCAAGTAACCAAACGGGGCTCTGGCACATTTGTAAGTGCAAAGTCGAACTGCTTTCACATGTGTAGACATGTGGTGCGCTTACAGTAAAAAGCAGTCGCTAACTACCCACCATGATTAGCATGGCCTGTACCACGTGTACTAGGGATAAGCAAAAAAAAAAAAATATTTTTTAGTTATACAGTTAAACCTGTCTATAGCGCACCCTCTTGGGACTTACCAAAATAGGGTGCTATAGAGAGAGGGTGCTATAGACAGGTCACTTTTAATGTTTAAAATCGGGCACTATAGAGAGGAAGGCACTATTTAGAGGGGGGAGGTTTAACTGTATATACATTAGAACAAACTCCCTGTAAAGAACAGCTAGTTGCAGAGCCAAAGTGTTCTTTAGGGAGAGGTGTCCTCTTACCTGAGAGTTGCTAAATAGTAAAAATGGCATTTTTGGCAATAAAAACTGTCCTTTATAGAGAGGTGTCTTCTCATAGAGGTTTTACTGTATATATATTATTAGAAGTTATTTTCTTTCCCGGATAGTTGGTGTTCTGCGTTCCTGGAATCTGGGTTATAAATATCTCTCTTTTTATATTACTATAAGTTACTAAAAATACAAAGGCTTCAAGAAGAAAATTTTAATTTTAAAAGAAAAAAAAATCTATCTGATGCTAACCTAATTTAGCCTATTTAATTCTAACCCAAACTTGAATAAATTATATTTATCAATACATATGGCCTCAGATTTTTTTTAAATTAGAGAATACTCTTTTGCTGGAACATTTGTTTTAAGTAACTATTTATTTTCTCTTTTGATAAGGCACAATTTGGATAATAGATTTTAAACACAAGGTAATAAGACCAAATCCAAATAAATAAATGGTGTTTGATGTTTTGGTAACAGTATTGTTGCCTAAATGTTACATGCTATTTATTTATTTTTTGGATTTGTTCTTATTACCTTGTATTTTATCTTTCCTATAAAACACTAAAATTCTTATATTACAATATTTCTCATGCCCTATTATAGTGTTAATATATTTATAAACAAGTTTAATTTTAACACAAGGTAATAAGACCAAATCCAAATAAATAGTGTGTGACATTTCGGTAACATCATTGTTACCATCTTCAGACAAAAGTCATACACTATTTATTTATTTGGATTTAATCTTATTACCATTCAGTACTTTTGTCTGAAGATGGTAACAATGCTGTTACTGAAACGTCACACTATTTATATATTTAGATTTGGTCTTATTACCTTGTGTTTATAATCTATAATCCAAATTGTGCTTTATCAAGTTTAATTTTACAAATATTCTCCCCCTAAGTTGTGATTATTAACCCATTCTGGTTCGCAAGCAACTGTCAGTGGCTTTGTATTAGGGTTTGCTATCAGTGGCTTCTGTGAAAAACAAGGTATGGGGGAGGTTGGCACTGATGTCGCTTTTCCTGGAAATCACGTAGGAATCTTGCTGAATCATCCTCCATTCTCTCTCACCTTGATTTGTTACTTATTTTGTTTGCCATTTTAAACTTTTTTTGAGCGTCGTTTCTACTTTGTCTGCTCGCTCCAAATCTCCTTTTTTTGGATGATTCTTCATCAACTGAATGTGTTCTTTAAGATTCTAATGCTGATATTAGTTCCCAAGTTACTGATATTTACATATTTGAACAGTCTAGCTCATCCTGAACAGCTAAAGCTTTCATATTTTCACAGATAGATTCTACACAAATTTTACCTATATTGAAGAACTTTCTAGAATTCATAGTTACCTATTTGGGACCATTATGCCAAACCAACAAGGAATGCCATGGAAACTGAAAAAAAAAAAAAATTTCGGTGGGGCAAACTCTTGCTTTGAGAAAGATAAATGTATTTGCACTCTGTTGGAAGGACAAACATGTGATTCACCTTGTCTCCTCATATCACATAGATTCAACACAGCTAGTCACCAGGAAAACTAGAGGTGGTTCAGAAGCCAACTGCCATTATAGACTGAACTTTGAATATGGGAGG